GGACAATAAACATTGCTACCGTACCATTAATTTCAAGATCTCACTCAAGTTCGATCAAAGAGAAACTTTCTTGATAGGAAACTAGGCATCTGAACTGATGGACACCAATTAAAAGATACTACTTAAACAGCTTCAGACACAGTGGTGGTGAAAATATAAAAGCGACAGGCAAAAAATGGTAATAACAAGGTACACAATCCCAGTGGAACAGAAGACAACTGACCCAAGCCAACATAAGTAGAGTTGCCAAAAAGGCAAAAACTAACCTGAGCAATGCACCTAGCCTAATCAACACGAAAAAAGACTGATCTAGATTTAGCTCCAAAGCTTATTCAATTATTCAGTCTTGCGTGAACAACAAATTTCAATCTAACACTGTAGCATAAAATTAAGAATCTAATCGAGCAAGACCTATCTGTGAGGCAAGGACCAAAAAAATAAAAATAAAAAGCAGCCAGGCACAGCGGACAGGCAAGCAAAGAAGCTAAATCTAGCCAGTCTGAAATCTGTATATTGCTGACTGATTTTGACTCAGTTCTAAGACACCATGATTCATTTATAGTCAAAGTGAGCAAAACAACTCTGATAAAATTGGCTGAACACTAGCTGTCTCCACAAAGTGGAAAAACAACACGAGTGAAAGAGAAAGAATTGGAACTCAAGTAACTTTTTTATTTTGTAAAATTAATCAATCAGGAACTAGTAAAACAAACCAACAACACATCTGATCAGCCTGTACGTGATTGTTCTACATGAAAAACAACAAGCTCAGCTATTAAATATTAATGAGCAGACTTCAGGTGATCTTTCTTGTCACATAGAGTTATTGCAATCAATCCAAACAAACTTACAGCATCAACAAGCAAGTTCTTGATTCCATGATACTCTTTTAATAGAACAATTCATCTTGCCCAGAAAAAATGGTGCTCAAAGTGAGACTGAATCTAAATCAGTGAGCAACATACAAATAAAAGTAAAATTGTTAACATGTATAAGTTATATCTCTCTATAAAATCTTTCTTAATGATAAGCTTTTAAGTAACAAAAGACTAAGGCACACAACGTTAAATATATACTAAAATAGAGAAATTTTACAGTTTCACTTCCACCAGATAATCTAATAACATGGCCAGGTAAACACCAGGCAACAAAGAGACAGTAAAAGATTGAGCAAAGAAATCAGCATCTTTACTGAAACCGTATCAGTTAGCCACAATCAAAGCCATTCTTACACCCCCAAAAAAAATTGAAAAAAAGATAAAGTCATGCATCTCACCTGCATAAATTTATTGTATTCAGAAACAAAACTGTAACGGTGTACACTCCTGAAAAAGGCAGACTTGGTGTTCAATAATCAAACAGATAGTAAGACACTCATACTTAAGTCAACCATGCTGAATTGCTGATGGCTTGGTATACTAGGATATGCAGAAAAATGTCAAAACAAATGCACTGTGTATTAGAAATGGCTTTGAGATTTACATGACAGAGCATTACTGAAACAACATCATCAAAAGAAAGCTGCAACAGATCAACAAGTACGCAGTCCAAAACATGAGATAATAACTAGGACTCAAGACAACCAGTACGAATCATAGTGTAGAAACAATTAAACATTTAGTCACCCCAACACCATTTCACAGCATGGTAAAAACATCTCCAAACTTTCATTACTATACATTGTCAATAAAACAATAAAATCTGAAGGGGAATACAAAACAGCAAATTATGTACCATAACTAATGAATGAAAGCACAACATTATATTGTGAAGACAAAAGGACAACATTATTTTAAAAAGTAAGCACGATATCTTGAGCGAAATTCTTAATAAAATCTATAATTGTGACTCACAACTAAGTTTGGACAATCTCCCTTTTACCATTTGGTATCATTTTAATACCAATTGTTCAAAAGAAAAGAACTGCGTTAAAGAAACAAAGGACAAAGTTGAAAAGAAGGTAAGCATGATTAGATTCATGTTGAACAAGTGACTGTTCTAATTTACAGAGAACTATGCTCCTAAAAGAGCAGAGGTTTCCGTTACATTGATTATGATGGACTCTACTACACAAGCTACAAAGCGATGGACACCCTTCTTCTTATAAGTAAGAACAACAATACCCTTGAACTAAATTGTGTACAAATACAAATGGGAAACTCCACAACAGACTAAATCAGACATAATAATTCAACAATGGCTTGGTTTGGTTTGGTTTGGTCAATGCTATTTCTTTTTTTAACTAAAAAGAGTTAAAAACAAAAGGCATAAACCCTAACTGTCCTCGCCGAGGCCATACAGAACACCAGCATACTTCTCAGTGCTACCACCGAAGAAATTATCCTTCAACTTCATAAATGCACAACAAGTGAGCAAACTATCCGACCCAGCCTGGTGACCAATCCCAACTCTTTTGACCTCCAACAACTCGGCAAGCTTGTTAAGGCCACCATGAAGGCTGTTACAGAACTTCATCAAATGCTTAATATCATACAGAAAAGGGAAATAGATATTGATCAAGTTAAAAAACCCGGCCTGCGTTTCGGGCAAGTCCTTGCAAGTCAACGACTTAAGCAAGTACCCAAAATCATACCCACTATGAAATGTAACCCATTTGATATCATCATTCAACACAATCCCAGACGACATAAGAAGCTCAGCAAATCGATTCGAATCGATACCCTCCGCCCTATATTTAGCAAAATCAATCCCACATTGCTTCAAAAGCTCAATGGAATCACTAGCATAAACATCCTCCCCAACATTAAACTCCCTAAAATTAAACTGCCAAATACAGTACTTTTCAGTTCCACAAGTTGGCAAATTCCCCTTTCCATCTGAAAAAGTTAAACCCAACTGAATCAACTTCAACATATCAACATTATCTTTTAGGGTCTTATAATTAAAGTCTGTAATATTCTTGAAAGTTCCAACTGGTCTAATTACAATCCCAGGAAACTCAGAATCCATTGCAACATAAGGATAATAATCAACAATTTCTCGAATTAAAGCAAACTCTTCTTCTAAATTATGATGCCAAACCTCCCTGATTTGAACCGTTTCTTCGCTAATCTCCATAATCGAGGACATGGGTATTCAATCAAAGCGCATAATAGCAGCAGATCTGCAAAATCAAGACAAAAAAAGTTCAAAAAAATAAAAAATAAAGAAAACCCATGAAAGTGGTAAAGTGAAGCAGGAGATCTGACCTTAGAGCGATGAAAAAGGGGAACTAGAGCATCAGATCTAGGGGAGTAGAATGATGAAGAAGGAGTCAACCAAGAGTTGAGGGGTGGGTGAAACTGTGAAAGTGAGCGTGAAGGAGAAGGAGAAGAAGAAGGGTGAAAGAGAAAAGTGAAGAGGGAGAAATAAACAAGAAAGAGATGAGGCGGCGAAGGCGATAGAGAGGAGAGAGACTCAAGAAATGCACGCGGTTGAAGGAGACTGCCAAAGTGGACTACTCCCAGTAATAAAACTTTAAACTTATTTCAAGATTTACCAGTTGGACGACTCTTTTTTTTTCTTTTTTTTTACTGTACATATATTTTTTTTACTGCCAAGGTGCTCGTATTAATGTAAATGTGTATATTAGAATGTATATATTCATGTGTTATCACCGGATATATCAGACTAGAAATTATTAATTCTTCTTTGTTTTTCAATAAAAGCAACATATATTCTGACATGTATTTTGAATACAAAAAAGAGAACCATGATGTGCTATTGTCATTTTTATTTATTTAAGCTAATTTATTAGAATATTTCATTTTTTTTTACAGAAAATGCATGTTGTAGCCTTGGTCCTCGCAAGGTTTCACTCGAAAAAAAATAAAATAAAGGGGCATGAAAATTGATTGTGTTTTGTTAAGTAAAAGGCGACTATTCTATATACGGAGTATATTAATATTAATGCTTAACTTGCAAATGATTACGAAGTTTATTTTCTTCTAATATATTACATTAGTGATTTTATATGCAACAATTGTGCTAGATTGGCAAAGTGGAATCCTCCTAGTAATAAACTTATTATTTTTTTGACAGAAATAAACTTATTAATTATTTCAATTTTCAAGATTAATGTTTACTAGTTGAACGAGTTAAGTTTTATTTATATATTTACAGAAAACTCCTCGTATTTTATAAAAGATTAAGCACTTGTGAAACAAACTTTAAGCACAACTATGAAGCAAACTTCGTGATTCACTTTTTTCTTTCATATTTTTTTTATTTAGAGCTCAATTACGTCGAGCCTTGCGTTAGTTATAATGCTAGATTGCTAACATAAATAACATAAAATAATCGGGATTGGGAAGACCAAATCCCCTTCATTCCCGCATGGATCTCCTTCTCCGTCTTTCATATTCATAGATTCGTAGTAGGGCATCGGATGTGGTTCATGTGTTTCCTGATCCCGGCTTTCCAGTCTCTTTGCTAGCCTTCTAATTGAATCAGCCTTTACAACAGCCTAATTCTTCTCCCCTTAAACAAGTAATGTATTGATTTCTATTTCTTTCTTAGTCTTGGATGTCTTGCTTTATGTGAGTCTTCATTCCTTTATTGGATGGAGTTGGTGTAATCTAATAACCCTAGGAGGGAATAATGCCTCAATTTTATCCATTAATAAATTTAATGTTGCATAAGTAAATTATAAAAGTTATAGATTGTGATAATATATATTGAGACAATTCTAATAAAATCCCACATATATGTTTTTTCTTTACATATAACTCACAAAATCCGATTGAAGTAGGGATAGTGAATGGTGTAAAAGTCAAAATGAATCAAGTAAAAGATAGAATTTATATTTTTTTAAAAAAAAAATTACAAGAAAGTGATATCTAAATGAAAATACTCCATCAAATAAGTAAGTAGCTCTCGTAGCTCAGATGGTTAGAGCACCCGTTTAGTAAGCGGGAGGTCTTGAGTTCGACTCTCAACGAGAGCATTTTTTTCTATTATTTTTGGCCTTTAAATTTCCCACTGCAATCAGCCATTATTCTACAAACGCAAATCCTATTTAATCGATGAAAGAGAAAATCGTTTCGATCAGAGAAAATTCAAAGCTACAACTACACTTCAATTTCTCCACACCAATTTTTTAGAGAGAGAAAATGTCGAACGAAACAAATACCACCTCGACGAAGCAGCAAAACCCTAAAAAAGCCAATTTGTTGGATCATAATTCTCTCAAACACATCCTTGATGAATCTGCTACTGAGGTATCTCTATTTTTCATCTCAATTTACAAAAAAAAAAAAAAAAAAAAAAAAGTTTTTTTTTTCGTAATTTGTGTTTGTTTATCTTGATATCCGATTTTGATTGTATTTTCATTAATTGTCGAACGATTTTGATGTTCTGTACCTCTGGATTGTTCCGAATTGAACGAATTTTATGACAATTTGGGATTCTGTATCGATTGTTTGCAATTAGGGTTTGGTAATCTGCAGTTTGTGATTTTAATGAGTTGTATGAGTTTTGTGATTTCAGTTGAGTGATAAAGTTTTAGTGTACAAAGATGATTTTGTTTTGCGGATTTAAATTTTGGGATGCGAATTGGATTTTAGGTGGTGAATGTGGAAAAACATATTGGCTCTATGCAAATTTTGGAAAATAGATGGTTAGATTACGAATTCTGGCAATCATTGTTGCCTGGAATGATAAGAAGCTCGGTATACTAGGACTTTGCCATTGGCTTATCGCATCCCAATGGAAAAGTCGGGATTCAGACAGTTTGTCTTTGTATTCTAACCAACTATACAATAGTTACAACTTACGACTAAATTAGTCTTTCTTGCTGACCATAATGTGTAATGTGTCGAGTTTCTATAGTTGATAGTGATAATTTCGTTGTTTGGACTGTTAAAGGTGCTAAATTGTGAGTAGGGAGTAATGGAACTTTGGCTGAATTAGATAGCTGCATTTCTCCTGAGATTATGACAATGTGCTTATTATTTTTCCAGGTTGTTAAGAATCGTGGATATGTGGAGGATGTTAGGATGAGCAATGTACGATTGTTGATGGGAACCTTCATCATAGCCATTGCCTTGGTGGCACAGTTTTATCCTAAGAAGTTCCCAGAGAACAAGGATTTTTTGATCGGATGCATCACATTATATCCTTTTCTTTCATAGTTTTGTTTTTTTATTCTTACTAGATTGTGTGCTACTGTAAACACTATTGGTGCATGCTATTGCTTCTCTTTTACCACTTATCTTGGTTACATATTGCAAACATTGCTCACCAATTTTTAGCAAAGTAACAGTGTTGTTAACATGGAATTACAAACTTAGGTTGTATGTATTGTAATTATTGGGTGTGATATTGTATTCTGTCTGGGTTTGTCCCTGATCCATGGGAACTATGAAGTCCATAGCTACAAGGGAATCGGAATTTGTTCCCCATCTTTATGTTACAAATTCTTCTTTGCAGGATAGCTGTGAATTAGCTTCTTTTAAACAGGTGTCATCATATATGTTTAAGTCTTAACTGGTTAGAAAGGTTGGGTTTATTATGAATCTCGACCTCTTAAGAGCTTAGCCACTTTGAGTCAAAAGTGTGTGGTATTGTTATTTTCAACTCATGCTTGTCAAGACCACTTATTATAGTGCTATTAATATTTTTCTTGACACATGGATTGAGTATGTGTGCTATGAGGCTTGCAGTCTTGAGTTACACAGGAAACAATAGATTGGGATTAGGAGCCTCTTTAAATATTATGTAGAATGTAATATGGTTGGGTAAATTTAGACCTGTAGGCTTGCCTTGTGAGTCGTTTTGAATAGCTATATAAGTGCATAGGAGTCTTTGGAGAGCTTTTGATGTTGGAGTGTTGGACATTGATGTTAGTTTATTTAGCCTTTAATTAGAGCTTGTTGTGTCGTAGCTATATTATTGCTTGTAGGTTATTGGTGGCTTCCCTGTTTTTAAGGGACTTTGCAGTTTGCACTTACTGGTTATCAGCCTTCCTTCTATGGCATAAATGTTACCCTCTCAGACAGTAGTTTTATGCAAGTCTCAGGGTACCAAGGCTAATAAGCTAGAAAATAATGCATGTTATTCTGACCTGCAATCAAGCTACAGTAACTGCTGTGTCAATATGTCTAAGTATGGAATGATGTTTAATCCTTGACTTCCCTGCACATATATCGTCTTCAATGGTTTGTTGCAGCTGATCATTTACAAAAAGGAAAAGAACGCTATAATGTTTACTTATCCTCCATCGGTAGGTATCTAGAATCTTATAAAATCAATTTATGTTTGTTTGTGTGTCTTTTATTGTTTTTATTGTTAATGTTCGGAAATTGGAGGTTATACATGGAAAATACATCGTTCTATCCTTTCAATATGAATTATTTTCTGGCTGGGTTGCTGCCAGAATGTGATTCAATTGATATTATCTTGATAAAAGTGTGATTCCCGTATAAGTTTAGCTTCTCATTGAGTGTTTTAGTCTTATACAGTCATGAATCAATCTCATGATGTTTAAGGTTGTGAAAGATCAAGGCACTTTTTATACAAAATAAAATAGTCTTTTAATGTACAAATGATGCGTTTTGCTCAACTCTAAATCAATATCATCATCCATTCATGGATTTATAATTGAACTATGTCACTTGATGATAATTTATTTGTTTGGTATGTATAGGAATCAAAGTGTTTGACTAATTTGTAAGTGGTAATCATGAAAAGGATCTGAATATCCTTAAATATTTCAGGAAACAACCATTGTTATGCTTCATTGTGTCTCAAGTCTCAACCATTGTTTTTCGATCTTGTCTTCCAGATAGTTAGTATATGTGGAGCATTTAATCCTAAAGGGGCTGAACATCTAAATTAATGGTCTTGATGTAAATCATACGCCTCTTCTTATCTAGTAGTCCTGGGATGAAAAGGTTTCGCTTTTTAAACAGCTTGTTCAAATTGTTGACTGATCCATTTATAAGATGTTTCTTTGCTGTATAGTTTTGTCCTTGGATGAAAAGATACTTGGGTGAATCTAGAATTTGCAGCGCGCAAATATATGTCGACAGTTGGCACAATTCTGTAGCCTGTCCTGTATTTTAAGGATGGTTTATTGATTCCAGTATTATATACTTGTATAATATACTGTTCTGAACATGGTATCTGAAATTGGTGATTAACATCTTTACTGTCTTGTGCTGACAGCTATTGAATGCCTCTTACAAGGCTCTCACTATGCTAGGGTAAGGGAATCAATATATGCAGCTTTTCCTATAGATTTGTGATGAAACTCTTTAACCTTACTCTAATAGATTAGCGGAGTTTGTTTCCATAGAGAATCTGACCACCTATGAGCAACCATTCTTGTTAATAATTCACGTTTTCTGTGGCTTTTGCTGACCTGTCAACTATTGTATCTCCTCTTATTTTCTAACCTTGGATTGGGTACTGTATGTTTCAGTCTGCTAAGTATTTGGGGCTTAGTATATCTTTTCAGGTTCACCCTGCAATTTATTCACATATGGAATGTGTTGTCCATGCTTCGTGTCCATCTATGTTTGGCAAATAGATATCTGATTGAATGAAGATTTAGTGTCAGATGTGGGGTTATTCTTTTTGCACCATTGAAATTTGAAGGAGGCTTTACTTTGTAATTTGAACGAGCTTTCATCTGCACAACATTTGTTTTTTTAGTGCTCTCCCTCTTTGCTCTTTATGAGTATGTGTGACATTGTTGGCATATGCAGAGTTTCATAGCTTATTATATAATGTGTGATTTCTGATTTCATTTTGCCTATGTTCAGGGATCTTACAATGCTACAGGCCTTGTCATATCTTCAAAATTACCAAGGTTCTCTGATATGTACACATTGACAATCGAAAGCGCTGATCCAAAATCAATCTCCGCCCACAAACCTGTTGAATTGACTAAGAGTGTCACCAAATGGTTTCTCTCTACATACTCTAGAAGACATACTTTTCATACATTCATACACTGAGGTTGTTTTGATTGCTTATTTGTGTTGTTTTGATTAATCCTATAGGTTCACCAAGGATGGAGTTTTGGTGGAAGGTCTATTCTGGAAAGATGTCGAGGGGCTAGTAGATGACTATAACAAGGAACCAAAGAAGAAAAAATGAATAGTATGAGATTTTCTCTTACCAACAGAGATCAAATCAGAGAATGGTCTTAGAGATTTAGAATTCAGTAGAACTAATTTTATGCTGGAAAAAACTTAGACATGTCAAATCTTTCAGAATTCTGTTTCTTGAGATTATTCTCATCTTTCTTGAGTGCGAGAATTTCTGATCTCAAGATTATCATTGATAGTTTATACGGAGTACAAGGTTATGCTCAATACTTATACCTTTTGTGGTCACTCTGTTGTGATTACTGATTAGGGCCTTAATTGTATTTGGTTGGAGGAAAAATCCTTTCCACATAATGACATATGCTACTTTGCTCTTTTTCTTTCTTTCTTTTTTTTTTTTTAAAGGAAAAACTACTTTTCCCATTTTACTAGTTTAAGAAAAAAAAAACAAAAAAAGACCTTAAAAGATTGTTCACATACACATATTAGAAAAGATAGTTTGTCTGTTGATAAACGTATTTTTCCCACATTAAGCGTAACTCTTGTGAGATGGAAGACCGAGTGTAATGTGGAGTATGTACTTAAAAAAAAAAGGTTTTTCTACATAGTACCCTAGAGATATTCACTTTTCTAAGTCGTGCTCACCCATTTTCAAAATTCCACACTGTAAAATTTCAAACCCATAAAATTCGAACCACCCAACACCCAAAACCACCCAACACCCAAAACAACCACCACCCACCACCACCCACGAACCATAAAAACCCACAACCCCGATGTCGAACCACAAAACCCACAACCCCAATTTCGCCCACAATCCACGAACAAAGAGAACCCAAAAATCCATCCCCTGAGAAAAATGGAACCCTAAATATATGAGCCTAAGGATGTAAATGACAAACTAATTCATCAATTAAAGCTTTAATTGGTCAAATTTAACCATCAAAACTCTAGATCTGGAGTTTTCATGGCTAAATTTGACCATAAAACATTCAAATTTGAGCTTCACCGGCAACGACGAAACAACAAGAAAAGGAAGAGAGAGAAAACGGTGGCGGCCACAAGCATGGGACAACGATAGTGAGTTGATAAACAAAGATAGGAGATCGTTGGTGGTGGTGGTGGTTGATAAACAGCGACAAAGAAGTTTTTGGTGATGAAGAGATAGGAGATTGGTGGTGGTGATTGATAAAGAATGTGATGATGAATTTAGATGGAAGGGAAATTATTTTGGTAGAAATGATTAAGTTAGTTTATGATAATGCTTAAGTTAATAAGATAAAATTAGTAATTTAATTAGGGTGTTAAAAAAAAGTAAGGGTAATTTTGTACAATCACATAAAAAAACTTATTATAAGAGGGAAAAAAAAGTTTGTTGCAAGTAATGTGAAACGGCCATTTTTGGTAATTGTTGCGAGTAATATGAAACGGAGGGAGTATTTTATATTACCGTTCCTTTCCAATAAATAAATAAATAAATAAATAAATAATAATAATAATAATAATAATAATAATAATAATAATTGTTTCGGGGTTTTCTGATGTCCTGCGGGAGAGTTACAATTCCGAGACTGGAACCGGACGCCTGTACCTGCAAAACAAACGGAGACTCCTTGTGGTGGGAGCTCCGCCTCCGACGGTCAAGTTAGTACTTGTTTGAGGAGTAATAAATGCGGAAAGTAAAGGTGGGAGATCTGGTTCCTCTAGGTGAGGAGTGATCAATGTGTTTAGACTTCTCTAGGTGAGAGTGTTCCCCCTGTTTATGGAGGCTAATGACATGTTTATATAGCCTCGAAGTACGTGCCTAATACTAGGTTTTCTGGGAAAACCTAGGACTGATTGGGCTTTCCTCGGGAATTAGGCCTGCGATGGCCGTTTTCCAGGTTGGCGAATAATGGGCCACATGATGTGACCTGATTAGTCCATGTTAGACCTCTTAGGGTGACAAGTGGCAGACGCTGATTGGCCCATGTGGTGGACACGTGGCAGGTCCGGATTGGTCCATTTGTCATGGGTAATTTTACCCTAAACATTTGCCCCTCGGAAGGAGTTATTTCTCTTTCCAGGAGGGATTGCTCCTTTCGAAAGTTAGACCCTCGAAGCTTTGCTAGGTCGGCATCTTGTCTAGTTCTAATGGGAGATGGACTTGATTAACTTAGAAAATTTTGATACCTTGGGCGGTATGACATTTTCAAAGTTAATCAATCATAATAATGATTGCCGCCGAACAAGACAGATGCCGATTCTTTGCCCCACTATGCAGATAGCCCCTAATCAGGTGGACTGTCAACTATTGCATAAGGGGTAAGCGTTTAGCATTATTCGGCCATTGGCATCTTTTGATTCAATATACTAAGTTTGGTACTTAGTTTATTTCGTTGGGGGATGGCTGGTCGTCTGCTTTGGTGGCTGCATAGAAGCAGGCGTCAGACAAGACGTCCAACCAAAGTAGCTACGCCTGTTGGGTTACAGACGGCAGCTTTAAGTATAGCCAACCTAGTAAGAATAGCGGTCGAGTACCTCTGTTTACCAAAAAACAGGCGGACTCCTCATACCTTTTAGGTTCCGTACTAAGGAGGGCGACTGGTTAACCTTGCGGTTAGTCAATCACTGTTTATTTTGTTTGAGTGGTAGGGAAACCAGGCGGCGGGGGCCGGATAGTCCCCTTGATTCGCCAAGTTTTGCTTGGCTATTAACTCAAAGGTTGTTAACCTAGCAGGAGTAGTGGTTGAGAGCCCCTGTTTGCTAAAAACAGGCGGGCGACTCATACTTTTTAGGCTCCATACTAAGTTTGAGGGAGTGACTATAAGTTAACATAGGAGTTACTTAGTCTCCGTCACACTCTAGCTTGAGTAGTAGAGGTACCAGGCGGCGGAGGCCGGCTGATCCCCTTGATTCGCCAATGTTTGTTGGCTATTAACTCAAGAGGTACCCCCTGCATTTATCCCAAGTAATACAGGCGGTCATCTGACTCAGATGTCAACTGCTACCACTGGTTTGGTTAGTGATAAGAGTTATCCTTGTCTCAAAAACGGCTACGTGGTTGCCCTTGGGGACAGTCGTATAGGTGTCGTGTAATTAGTTTATAGAGCAATGTTCCACCCAAAAGGGAGCTGCTCTCTGCGACGAATTTCATCCGGAGGGATGCCGCCGGACGCCTGCTATGATGTTGGAACAAGTCGTATTAGTTTAAAGATTGGATCAGTTGGCTTGGCGCCTGGACTGATCATTCGGCTTGTGGCCTTGGTTAGTTCTTGGTGAACGTAGGTGCTAAGTAAGAGGAGGGTAGCCGCCTGTTTAGGCACAGGGTCGGCCAGGCCCTAATCTTTTTTAGCTAAGTATAAGGGGGTGGCTGTGTGTTTGGAACCAGTCGGCCCTCTTCTATGGAGAGTAGCCGACTATATGTCCAGACGGCATGCCCCTATGGTGATGAGTAAAATATTCAATGGAGAGTAGCCGACTGTAAAGGTACAGGCGACATGCCCCTCTGAAGATAGAGTAAAATACTCAATGGAGAGTAGCCGACTGTAAAGGTACAGACGGCATGCCCCTCTGAATTAGTATCAAGTATTGAAATAATTTCAAGTGTTACAGTAGATAGATCACTTAGCTCCCTTCCATGGAGGACTTAGCTCCCTTCCATGGAGGATTGGTGACTACTTTCTTCGAATGGGAACAGTTGTTTTAATGTGGTTTGCGACCTTGCTGTTCGGCCCACACATTTTCTGCCGGTCTTTAGCCCCTTAGTGAAATTAATGAGGGTCGACTTCTTTCATAGCTTCGAGACTTCGTCGTATAGGGGGCCAACTACTATTCATGCCGCCTCTCTTGCTTGATAGATTGTCACACAAATAAGTGGACGGTCTTCAGTAAGGTGTCGCCTAAACAGAAGGGAGACGGTCTTCAATAGGGTGCCGCCTAAACAGCCGGTTTTACTAACCTTAGGCAATTTTTTTTTTTTTTTTTTGCAATCATAATAATGATAATGTGCTTATGGTGACAACTCACACATAATATGAGACTTCCTGAACAATCATGCGGCATGTTTTATACGATATGCAAGGCGTCTAGCCCCACACATGCTTGCAATGAACAAGCAATCGACTACTCTTTGAGTTTTGAGGCCGGCTGCTTGAGCTACGACGCTTTATATGCCGCCTGCTCAAGCTTCACATCCGGCCAAGCATGGTGCCGGTCTCCTTTGTTGGTTGTTCAAAGAGAGCTGGCTCTCTCATAGCACCAAGATACGAGGGGGTGTTTTCAATAATCATTTGGCATGCCGCCTGTTGTATGATGTCGATTGCCGAGCCACTTGTATATAGCTTGCATATTCACAGGTGGCTTATTATGCCGCTTGTGTTTCTAATTCATCTTCATTTTTCCACTCAGCAAGGAGTCTATCAAACATACGGCTTTCGCCCCTTGCTTGTGCTACTGCCGGATGCTTTAATCATAGGTGCCCATGCTCCACCTTGTACTTTGTCAATGATTTCAAAGGCCGGCTGGTTCTGCCGTGATGTGCCGGTTGGAGTTTGAGGAGTCCGCCTGCTTGCCTATTTGTGAGGACCAATGAAGGTGCCATCGAAGTGGACATGCCGGCTGAAGCTAGGTGACTAGCGCATGATGCCGATTGCATTCTATTTACGTGCTTGGCATTATTTAGACAAAAATGATCATATGACTCGGCCCCTATTTAAAAAGTATGAAGACCCACTTTTGCTCATGCCCTTTCAACCAAGTGCCGGTTGTTTAAGGTGAGTCTAGCTGGGACTGGGCTTGAGTCTTGAATAGCACTTGTGGCCGCCTGTTTTCATTAACAAGGGTGGCCGACTATTTGATTTTATTGAGCGTCTGAGCACTGAATGCCGGCTGAAATAAGAGCAATGAGGATTCCCTAACTTAGCAAGTTATATACTCTTGGGCTCATAAATTTGGCTTGGATGATCACTTCATGCGGCTCTTCAAACACATGGATACACACTTGGTTGGACGAATGGATAGCTTAGCATCTACTTGGCATGTACTCGTACCCAGCATCAACGTCAAATCTCAGCATGATATTTGAACTTAGCACAATAATTGTGTTTCATGTGCCGCATGTTTTACTATGGCTAGCCTCTTTGCTGTGTTGCTAGGACTAGGCTGGCTGTCTATAGACATACAAGGGACTTGCTGTTGCGTGCATACACATGGTGGTTGTTTCTTTACAAACAATAGCAATGTGTCATTTGATTCTTGATGTTTACCCATGATACTATGAAATTTCAAAAGGCACTCATTTTGAGCTTACATGGTGCTTTGGTAAGGATGCCGAGCTGCTCTTCTCAATGGAGCTAACTTTTAAAATTTTATTCGGCTACATGATGCCGTATGATCAGCTTTCC